ATGTATGCTTCCCCATGGTCTTCTTTGTTGTTCTGTGTGTCTTAAAGGGTCACTGTAAACCAGCTTTTTTCAAGCTTGGCAACTTTAAAGCTAGTTCAGAATTCTGGGGTTTGAAATCCACACATCTTAAGTTGCTGAGTTTGTAAAATGCTGCTATAAAGTCTCTGATAGCATTCCTTGAGTTCCACGTCTTAAGTACATGTATTTAAAATAAATGCATGTTCTTTCCAAATTTACTTGTACCATCATTTCATTTTCTCGTATCTCATTCTTGGAATTACAACTTCCAGAATTCTAAGACGGCTTGGCTAAATTGAAAGTTTGAATAGTAGCAAATTTTCTAATTCCATTAGTTGGAAATACAGTGCAAACAGAAGAGAATAATATGCCTTGTAAACCAGAGTAACTACTGGCACATGTTATACTGGCATTCCTGCTGAATGAGGTACAAGCATTTTTTTTCCACAAGGTACAAAGAACTCTGTGAACTTAGTTACTGGTAAACTTCAGCCCAATAGGCAAAAGCTGATCTACTGTGGTTTGTGGCAAAGTGCCCAGATGAAGTAAAAGCTGCGTAGGACCAATTAAGAGCAAACTCTCTCTCTATCTAGGCCTCAAAATGATCTGCTCCAAGACTAGAAAGCTTTGTTTACTAAGCAAGACATGCAATAATAAAAGGTGTAAATTGGCACAGGACTTCTTCACCCAGATATAAAATGAAAGCTACAACTGGCTCAGCTTTGAAGACCCCAGAGGTCATCGTGTTATACTGGTGCTATGTGAGCAGAGCTGGCTCCCAGTTTCTTTCGAGGTGCAATTCAAAGTGCTGGTTATAGCAATAGCACTTAGACTTATATACCGCTTCACAGTGCTTTACAGCCTTTTTTACAGCCCACAGTGCTTTACGGAGTCAGCATATTTCCCCCAACAATTTGGGTCCTCATTTTACCCACCTTGGAAGGATGGATTGATGAGTCAACCTTGAGCTGGTGAGATTTGAGCTGTCAAATTGCAAGCAGCTGGCAGGCAGCAGAAGTAGTCTGCAGTACTGCACTCTAACCACTCATAGGTTGGTTATGGGTTATCATCTTTAAAGTTGAGGATCATAGGTTATCATCTTTAAAGTCAGATAAGGTGGGTGCACTTCAAGTCATTCCCTAACATATTTCTGGAAGGACCTTGAAAGCTCACCTACGAAGTTGCTCCTGCCCACTGGAATACAACTACTCTCAAGATCTGGCAGGCCCCCAACCTCCTTACCCTCCAAAAGTCCATAAGGGGCTGGCTCTTCCTGCAAACATTGGGCTAAGATGAATGTTCATATATGGGAAGTTTTGTTTTAGGGCACCAGAAATTGTTCAAATGTATAGCTATTTTATGTGTTATTATGTCCTTTAAGCCACCCAGGATGTATATAAGATGAGTGGCCATATAATTTTTTTTAGATTAAAAAAAAAGTCTAAATGTTGAAAAATTGATAAATCAGATTTAGTTATTCTGTTGATTCATTTGAGAGCCCCTGTTTCCCTAAAAAAAAAAGACCTATCCTGAAAATAATCCCTAGCAGGCTTTTTATGCATGTGCCTAATAGAAGACATACCCCCAGAATAAGCCCTATTTAAGAGTTTGTGCAGCAGGCTGCCTGCCCATTCTGTCTGGTTGCTCATGGTGCTGGGGCCACGAGGCGAGGTGGGGTGGCCCCAGCACCATGTGCCCATGCACATGGGCACAGCATTGGCTTACCTTAGGGCCCCCACAGCCAGGTCATCCACACCCCGACAGTTGCCTCACAAGTGGTAGCAATGGCAGCCATGCGCATCAGGAGTCCACGTGGCTGCCGGCCTACTTCTTCTGCTTACTCGTGGCCACAACAGAGCAGGAGGCTGAGTGGTGTGCTTGTGCCAGAGCAGCGAGGCAAGGCAGATATTGGGGCGTGGATGGCCTGGCTGTGGGGGGCCCTGAAGTAAGCCGGTTGGCTTCCTGCCCTGCCACAAGCAAGCAGAAGAAGTGGGCCTCCCATACATAAAAAAAAATAAGACCCATGAAAATAACCCCTAGTGCTTTTTGGGGGGGCCAAAAGAAAATAAGACCCGGTTTTATTTTGGGGGAACCCAGTATTAAAAAGCAGTCAATTCCAAATTTTAAAAAGTAGTGGCATCACTGGAAAAATGGAGTGCTGTGTCATTTTGGCAAGAGCATCTTTAAAAAAACAAAAAACACCCTTGTATTCACCTGGCTAGACAAAAAAAAATATGCAAAATGATTTGGTTTTTTAATCTTTTTCTCCCTTTGGCTCTAATTGTAGGTGGAGGAGAACAAAAATCTTTAATAAATCTCCCACAATCCCTTGCCCAAACGTTCTTCTTCCGCTTACCCCATCCCCAGAAAGCTACTTTTAAATATTGTCAGTTTTATTATGCCTCAGGAAAAACTAGGTTACTTTTTAATTAAATTTGTTGTTCAGTTTTAAAGAAAATTATGATCCTGCCCAAATTGATTAAGATCAAGAGTTTAAGGTGTTGGAGAGGGGAGTTATGTCTATATACAGTAATTCTCCTTCTCAGTTTAACTTGCTTTAGAGGGTGGTTATTGTAGTAATAAAATGGAGGAGTTCTGTGTAAGTTTTCTTAAGCTAAAAGTCCCAAAAAAGCAATAAAACTAGAAATGCTTGAGCAAACAAATTTGTTTCTCCTTTTTATTTTGTATGAAATATCAATTAGAACCCTTTAGATCAGGGGTGTCAAACTCACGGCCCATGGGCCAGATGCTCTGGCCACACCCACACCCAGTTTAGTGAAGGGGGGAAAAGTCAAGATACGTCACGTGACGACGACGTGACGATGCGAGTTTGACACCCCTGCTCTAGATGATAAGATTTGTAGTACTTCATAATGAGACTGGTCCTCAAAGGAAGCCTTCAGAGGTGGGTTTCAGCAGGTTCTGTCCAGTTCTGGAGAAAATTTTGAATAGTTCAGAGAACCTGTAAATACCACCTCTGACTGGCCCCGCCCCCATCTATTCTCTGCCTCCCGAGTCCCAGCTGATCGGGAGGAAATGGGGATTTTGCAGTAACCTTTACCTGGAGTGGGGTGGGAATGGAGATTTTACAGTATCCTTCCCCTGCCATGCCCACCAAGCCACACCCACAGAACAGGTAGTAAAAAAATTTGAAACCCACCACTGGAAGCCTTGTAAGGTTTTATCCTGGACTGCCAGACGAGCAAGATTTTTTTCTAACAAAAGATAATGCCATCACAATTTTAAGATCTGTTGATGCTGCATTGATTTTGCAATAAACAAAATGTTACAGGAATTTTGTTCCAGCAACTATAATAGTCCAGAATACAGAACCTATGTGGTGATGCCATCAACTGGTACCATTTGGAATTACATTTACTTCATTCTTTACATTGTATATCAATTTGAAATGAACTTTTAAAAAGAGACCAGACTTGGGATCTGAATGTTTTTTAGGATGGGAGACACATTTGGTATTTTGAGAAGCTGCTATGGCTGCTCTTGCAAACTGGCTGCAGAGGAAGGCTTGCCCAGTCACAAGCTGGCTGCCACAGGGCTATAACTAGTTGTTGGACTACAATTTTCCAGTACACTATTTGCCGTCTCTTCTAGTTCTTCTTCCAGAAAAAATGTTTCCTAATGTACCTGCTTATTTTGTCTTTTTTCAGGGCAGATAGCACACTTATAAAAATGCACTGAGCTATAGCCATAGTTTACTTACACATCAAGAACCCTGTAAGATGGGCTGAGAGAGAATGGCTGTATCAAGGTCACTAAATCAAGTTTCATGGGTGAGGGAGGACTAGAACCTGGGTCTTTCTACTAATACTCATTAACCACTGCATTACATTGGCGCTTTAAATTTATAAGGTCCATGCGGGACCTTAGGGAAGGAAATATGATTTTGGAGGAGCAATGTTCAATTTCAGGATTTAATGACCATGGTCTAAACCAGGGGTCTCCAAGAGACTTAAGACTTGTGGACTTCAACTCCCAAAGCTGGCTGAGGAACTCTGGGAGTTAAAGTCCACAAGTCTTAAAGTTGCCAAGGTTGGAGACCCCTGGTCTAAACAGCAGTTTCCAGGCATTTCATCAGCAACCATGGCTGGCATCTTCAAAGGCAATCATAGACAGCAAGCAACTGAATAGGGATTGATGGGCTGCTGTCTTCAAAGCCAAGTGACCTGACGTTTGATTGGTTTTTAGCCAAACTGGTTTGTTTTCCATGCAGGCTGGTAAAGGCTAGTCTCAGATTGGTTCATTGTGTCCAATCCTAACTGGTGGTTTTAGTGCTGTTGGATCCTGATTGTTCATGCTGGCTTCTGACTAGTCATAGTCTGAAGTGCCTCTTGTAGCAGACCAGCCACAGATGCCAGCAAAACATCAGGAAATTCTATTGTCAAGACCACGGTCACATAGAAGCAGGATATTTTATTTGATAGGCCTGCCCACTTAAAATATATTGTAAGGCAAATAATTCAGGTGGGAAAAATCTTAATGGGCCAGACAATATTAGTTTCTTATATGTCTAATAGATGAGCCTTGGTAGCACAGTGGACTAAAGCACTGTTATTAACATCTGCTGCTTGCAATTACTGCAAGTTCAAACCCCATCAGGCTCAAGGTTGACTCAGCCTTCCATCCTTTCAAAGGTAGGTAAAATGAGGACCCAGATTGTGGGGGCAATAAGCTGACTTTGTATAAAATATACAAAAGTATGAAGGCTATTGCTTAACGCATTGTAAGCCGCCCTGAATCTCCGGAGAAGGGAGGTATATAAATTAAAGCAAAAAAAAAAAAAGCCAGCTGTAGCATGAACTGTAGAGCTAAACCAAAGCCAACTGATTTTACAAAGCTACTATGAGAACTGGCAATGTGGAAATAACAATGGATTTACATACAGGTCATGAACCTCCACCACAATTAAACTTCAGTCCATCCACCATCATTTGGAAAATCCAAAGAAACACAGAATCTGAATATTTGTTCTTGATGCTATTCATTTTGTTGTTCTTTAATGGAATACAGAGAAAGTATAGTCACATATCCAAGGCTGTATTTCATGGAAGAGGTTGAAAGATTTTGTTGCTGAATAAAGCAGGCACAAAAGCCTCTATAGCTACAGTCTGAGCTGCATTGCAGTCAGTAAGTAATGGCATCTCTTGAGCAAAGATCTGATCTGAGATGTCAGATAAAGCACCAGCTTTCTTTCTGCATTTCAAATGCCATCAACTCAGAATTCCTATCTTTTCTATAGGGCAGAGATGGTACTGTACTGACAGATTGTGGTAATAATCATTGTGTGGACATGTGCTAGCAAGAAGGCAAGTGTTCCTGTTGGCCTGATGGCCATGAATCAGGTTGTTAAGTAAGACAGTTGTTGAGTGAGTTTTACCCTATTTTACAACTTTTCTTGCTACAGTTTTTAAATGAATCACTGCAGTTGCTAAGTCAGTAACCCAATTGTTAAGTGAATCTGAGTTCCCCATTGACTTTGCTTGTCAGAAGGTTGCAAAAGCTGATCACATGACATGGGACATCGCAACTGTCATAAATACATGCCAGTTGGCAAGCGTCTGAATTTTGATCACATAATCACAGGGATGCTGCAACAGTCATAAGTGTAAAAAATGGTCATAAGTCACTTTTTTCAGTGCCAAAGGGTCACTAAATGAATGATTGTATCTTCCCTAGTACCCAAAAATGCTGTGGGACAATAGATAATGCAGAAAAATGGTGAGACACAGGAAGCACCAAGAAGAAAAAAAAAAGTGATTCACGTAGGCATTATGGAAGGGGTCTTCATGTTTCTATGAAAGAAATATGACCTGAAATAGATAGAAAATGCAGAATAGTTAATTATATTTCAGGACTCTAGGAAAAACATCTACAACAGCACATCTGTGCTTAAAGAAAACCATATGCCATCATAGTCAAGGCTGTGACTTGTAAGGAGCGAAGTTAAATAACAAAAACAAAATGATTTCCATGGTTGAAATGAAGAGTTGGGAACCATGAGCAATATTCATAATATAGAGTGCTAGTTTCTGCAGTAGGTCTAGTAACGTACAATTTTCTACAAGCATCTGTTATTGCTAGTTTTGTTATGCTATGTCATAATACAAATGCCAATGTATTTTACACTATAAAATACATGGCACATTAATTAAGACATCAGAATAAATAACTGCAACCAGATTGTATAGCAATGCAGAAAGCAATGAACATGCAAGATGCACATAATCTTTATCATTTGAAACCAGCAAGGACCAGACAGAAGGGAAGCAGTCAGAAATTAATGAAAGGTATGTATTTTTTTAAAATTACCTCATATGTTATGTTTCACTGTATCTTCCTAAGAATAAACTGACTTGTATGCTTATTAAACTGTTCCACAAAATCAGCTATTCACATTTAAGTCATTGGATAAATTAGAAAAGATCAGCACTACAATCAGGCTGAAATTTGTAAGGTTACAACTTTCCCTTGCCCAAACCAATGGTCAATTATTTAGCCTTGTAGTGAAACTAAGGAGCTTGCCACTATATAGTTTTACTTTGCAAAAAAGAAAGAGAAGATTTGCAAGGGCTGGCTTCTGAATTGTACGCCTCCATTTTGTATATCTCTAAGGAAATGTCCATAGCAGTGAACTACATTTCTAATTTTGTGATTAGAAATTACAGTAGATTATTTGGGAAAATGGCTAGGGTTAGGACTAGAAATCAAAAAATTACTTTGCTCTACTAGATTTGGCTCATTGTTTCTAGCACTACATGGAAACCAAAACATAAACAAGAGTGCAGATTTGTGTCCAAGACAAAGTACATATTTCAGAAAAGTTATTTCATGCTGTTGTCTCTGACATTCAGCTATTATGCCATAATTGAAATGTCCAAAACTGAAACAGCAAGTCAAAGTTCTAATGGATCATACATGCTCAGATGGCATGATGGTATAACTCTTATTTCTAAAGTTCTATGATTATCAATTAAGGTAAGGTGCAAAACTACAATGTACCTCATAGAAAATCCAATATGAGATAAATAAATTAAAGTCTTCTTCAGGTAACTCTGATTGATGATGACTTGAGGGAAACATTCCTCTAGTATTCTTGGCATCTACAAAGAAGTAATTTGCAATTGCTTTTGATAGGATTTGTTTTTTTTTTTCCCAAGTCTGGCCTATGCTGGTATTTCTTGGTGATCTCCCAGGTGTGATTCTGCTTAGATTTTTAAGGCCAACCAACCTCCCTCAATTGCTGCCTGGGCAGAAAATATGTTATTTCATCCAAAGAACTATTTCAGGTAAGTAGATAAGGTTGATTAGTGCTTAATGTTTTTATACTGAATTGGCCATTAGAACAGTTGTATCCAAGATCTTGACATTGGAAGTGTTAATCAAGCACCATAACCACTTTGAGTTTGGGACCTTTAGCAATGCTGATAAAATATTTTAAAAGGATGCCATTGGGCAAAAGGGCATACTTCTCATTGTCCTGTTGGTGATTTGGCAGCATCAAACATCTTCTTCCTGCCTTCCATTCCTGACATGGCCTCCACATTCTTACGCCAGTCACTCACTTCTACTGGACGTTCCTGTGAAGGAAACAAAGAAGTTAATCCTTACTTGAGGAGGAATTTAAGCAAAGGGCTAATTTCAGCGGGGGGTTTCAAACATTTTTACTACCAGTTCTGTGGGTGTGGCTTGGTGGGTGTGGCATGGCTTGGTGGACATGGCAGGGGAAGGCTACTGTAAAATCTCCATTCCCACCCCATGGCAGGGGAAGGATACTGTAAAATCCCCATTTCCTCCCAATCAGCTGGGACTTGGGAGGCAGAGAATAGATGGGGGCAGGGCCAGTCAGAGGTGGTATTTACCATTTCTCCAAACTACTCAAAATTTCTACTACCGGTTCTCCAGAACTGGTCACAACCTGCTGAAAGCCACCTCTGGCTAATTTGTACAAGTAGAGATGAAGATATATACTCTGCATATGCCACATGAACAGAAAGGTGAGGAGTACATTGTATGGGTATCAGTAAGGTCAGGTGGCTAAACTTTTATAAACATATCTAATATAGGAAGAGTTCCATTAGTGTATATTGTACTGGCAAGTTTCCTGGCATATATCAGTATATGCAGAAAATAGAATCTAGATAGGTTGAGCACCAATAAACTCTACAAGAAACACCCCACATTAAAATTGTTATTTTAAAAAAGCAGAAATTTTAAAATTTAAGATTTATAAATTTAAGATTTTTAAAAAAATATTTAAAAATCTTTGGCATTCAGGGAGCAAAGATGAATATACTTACCAAGATTTAAAGGGGAGAATCAAAGCATCTTCTAATTTAAATCTAAACTGTACTGTTTAATCACTGGAATATATGCCTGTGTCCAGGCTAGCTCTGTCTGGAATTTACTACATGCTAATATTTTTCAGATCTGAATGACTATGTGTAATAAAGAAAAAGATCTGGATCATTAAATCTATTATTTCCTTCATCAATAGCCTTGCAAAACTGACCATGTGCATTTCCTTATAATGAAATATTCTCTATTAATCGTTGATGTTGGAAAAGCACAGACAGATTCACATATACAGGTTGAAGCACTGACTTTTCATCCAAGGAAATCAGTACAACAAATAGAAACTGTTGAAATAGTTGCATTATGTTATTCATGACAGACTGCTGAAAATATTTCCTGTGTATTGAGTGACTAGTATCCCAGAATGGTATTTCCAATGATATCATATCATCATATCATCACTTGGTCTTATGCACAGCTCACATTTGATATGCTAAAATCTATCTATAGATCTGATAACTCTTCATTTAATTCACTTGACAGTAACGTATTTCTTAATTTGTGACTTGTTTGAATTCCTTTTTATTGTCATCTTTAACAGTTATAGATACTTCAATGGCCCATATGCCCGTTTCTTTATTTTTTCATCAAGTACTAAATTCAGTTGTTTCTTATCTACAAATGTTCATTACAGGCAGTCCTCAATGAACCAAATTTCAATTGCTAAACAAGATGGTTGTTAAGTGAGTCATGCCTGGTTTTACAACCATTTCCATGGTTGTTACGTGAATCACTGCAATTGTTAACTAAATCATGTGGTCATTAAGTGACTCTGGCTTCTTCCATTGACTTTGCTGGCTGGGAAAGTTGCAAATGGCAATCATGTGACTTCAGGAATGCAGAATTGTTGTAAATATATGCCATTTGCCAAGCACCCCAATTTTGAACACGTAACTGTGGGGATGCTGCGATGGTCATAAGTGCAAAGATTGGTCATAAGTCACTTTGTTCAGTGCCATTGTGACTTTGAGTAGTCATTAAACACACAGTTGTAAGTTGAGGAGTACCTGTATACCAAGAAAATTCCAGTCTAGAAGATACAATAAAAGACAATGATTTTCTTCCATGCTAAAATTCTGACTGCTATTAGCAGTGCATAGATAATTGCAAATCATATGGATGAACTTAACAATTTTATTTTAATGAGTGGGCTCTCCGACCATTTTAACAATTCTCATTCTTCATGGGAGAAGCTGTCTTAACTTTAGTTCCTGTTCTTATGACACCTTCTATAATCCTCAATCTATTAAGAATGTTCATTTACAAACTATTAAAGGTAGGGAACATCTATTTATTTATTTATGATTAAATTTATATGCCACCCATCTCGCCATCAGGTGGCTCTATAGAAGAATATCAATCAAGAGAAAACATAAGAACATGTTTCTTTGCGATGGCATAAAAAAAAAAACCATGGGATATACGGTACATGGAGTATACAGTACATGGGATATACTGTACAGAAGGTGGGATTTCCAGCCACTGACCTTTTCTGTGTCCTCCTTCTTGACAGACTTGAGGTTGGCTCTCAGGTCCATAGATACTTTGTGCTTTGAGCCAAGCAGAGCTCTAAGCATGGCATCTGCAGACACGCGGACACGGCGCAAGGGAGGACGCTTGAATTTTCCCCTAAGGTCAAGGACCTTCATTTTCAAGTCTTTAATCTGCAGAAAGGGCAATATAAACAGTCATATATCATGAGGTCTAAAAAAAAAAAGACTTGCTCTTTCCCAGAAAAATGGTATTGGGAGTCCAACCCACTCTCTAGGTTACAAGAAGGAATGCTTTGGAGGGGTTCTTGCACTTAAAAGGTATTCTGCATTCTGTGTTAGGTATGTTAGCTGCCTTGAGTTATTTATAAAAATAATAAAGGGGGAATATAAATAATATAAATATTCAGTAGCCTCTGAAAAACTGACACAGGAGTCTTGATTTATAAATCTCAGTTTCCCTTGCTTTCAGTCTGCACACATTTTATTCATTCCACTGATAAAGGGAAAATTAGCATCTCTACTAAAGCAAGAAAACATATAAGGTTATACAGAACATTAGCCTGGAACCCAATTTAAAAAAAATAATACAGAGCTCTTATGGAAGATCCTGGAGATGTTCAATGTTCCTATTTGCAATTTAAGACCAGGAAATGCTCCATTCTTATGCCAACAGTCCTGAATCCACTTTAGGAAAAAAAATGGATAAACTAGTTCAGGATCTTTAAGACTTCCTCATAAAGCTGTTACCTAACCTGTATTGGACATCTTCTTATGGACAATGATATTTTACTGTTTTTCGTATTAATATATTATTTTTATCTGAGAATTTAAATAAGAACCATTCTCTGTCTTCTTACCTCCCGTGTGTTATGGTTACACTTTGCTTCAATGTCATATCTCTCTTCATCCACAATGTCTACCTTCTCATGAAGCTCCCGGCACAGATCCTGTGCAAGTAAAAGGGGAAAATGTTAAGGGATATTTTCTCTAGGCCTCAGATCGGGTTATTTCTAACTGATATTTCATTGGGGGAATATATAAGATCAGATACATTGATTAAGTATTGTTCCAATGCTAGACATTGTCAGTCCCGATAGTCTTTTGATCAGAGCTTCAGAATACATACATACTAGCTGGACGCCCATGCTTTGCTATGAAACTATGTGCTCAGGCTTGACAAACTGACACTTACAGCCTGAAACTTAATGTAGAATGTGTAACTCCATAGCATCAGAGTCTGTTAATAGAATGCAACTGGCAATTGGAACAGAGGAGGAGGGGGAGTAGAATTTCCCAGCCTACAGCATCCATCGATATTCATCTGGCTAGCATCCTGTCAGTGTGTGAGAGAGTTGAGAGGTGTTTGGAAACTCAAACAGTATTTGCTGTGTGAGCAAGAAGGAGACAGGAAGAAGGCTGGGCATGGCTTAGCTCAAATGTTCTGTATTAAAGCTACTTCCTGCTGTGAAAGTAAAACTGAAACTGAAACTCCTCTGCTTGTGTTTTGCATTTGGAACAGATTTCTTTTCAGGTGGGGAGGGGGAGTAGAACTCCTTAGCATCAGAGCGTGTTAATAATAATATAGGAAATACTAATGCTCTGATGGTTATTTCGAAAAATCCTTTCTTAGTTAGCACATAGAAGCCAAGAGGAACATATGTGGCAAATTTCAAGTTTGTAGGCTTTACGCTTCTGGAGATTTCGTGATTAATGTGTGTGTCAGCACTTCAACCTGCATTCAAGACTTTGTTTGAAATGCAATTTATTTGAAACGACCTCGAAACTTGACAGTGTGAGTAGTTTTCGCTTTTATGTATGTGTCTGTGTGTCTCTCTGTGTGTGTATACATACATACAATATTACAAAGCTGTGCAGAACCTAGATTATATTCAGAAAGAAAAATGTAATGTTGAAGTGTTAAGCACCATTGTTTCTTACAACCTAAAAATAATGAAATGATGGGAAAGCATGGCACTTGGAAAAGTCACGAGAGCCAATCTGGTGGAAACTACCCCAATCATCGGGGGGGGCGGGGTTTACTTTAAATAAGACAACCATCTGTGTGACTCAAGTTTAAAAATTTCTATTTCAGTTGTAGTATGTAAATATTTTAATAAATCAATCTAAATATGGAAATAATGCAGATGTTACAATAATATATATCCTCTTTTAACTCTTGTTTTAGTATTGCTATTGCATGATAGCACAAAAATGGCTACAGTATTTTGCTCTACTAATATGAGAATCTTGAATTATGGTGATGATAAATCTGTCAATGTCAGTCAAACATTCTCATTTATCTAACCTTCAAAAGTGACATTTTTGGATCATTTCCCCCCCAGTTTCTTGAAGCATCTTTTACATCTAGTTTAGACAATAAGCCATCTGGGCCAATCACTCTCTCTCAGTCCAGCTCACCTCACAAGGTTGTTGTGGGAAAAATTGGAGGAAGAAAGCTATTTATAAAAAAATAAAGATAGGATTTTTAAAAAAAATTAAAAACCCTAATGATATATGTATGATTCCACCTTCTGGAAAGGGAAAAGATGGCATGAACTGGAGTTCCGAATTAAACTAATACAGCTCCTTAGAGTCCTGTGTAACTCAACATGTCCACTTAGGCATCCCCTCCATTCCCAAGAATCTACCTGGAGTTGGGAGTAGGAAAGCCCACTGGTATGCAGAGATGTTATCCTTTCTGCCAAATATCTCTCCTTCTCTCCTTGTTTGTCCACTTGTTCTTGTTCCCATTCTTCTTTGGCTTTAGCCAGCATCAAACTCTAGGGGGAAAAAAATTAGGGAAACATTTGAAAGATAACCTTATACCTTTTTCACCATGGATCTGAAATATCAGCCACAAGAAAGGTTTGTGAAGAACTCCTATGTATAATGCACAAGTCAGAAGCCTTTGTCCAGTTCTCCAACCTTCTTCCTCCAAATGAGCAGTAAATAAAATTGGGAAGCTGTCCCAAATTTACGTAGAAGAATTTGTTCTGTACAGTTCCATGCAAGAGTATCTTGCTTTAATTAATGCATGATAACTTGCATCGCCATGACTCACCTTTAGAAGGAGTTTGCGTGAAGCTGTGATCTTGGGTTTCCTCTAAAGAGCAAAAATAAAAGAAATCAAGGGCACCATTTCAACAACACAGTGATAATCATATATTCATAACAGCAAATGTTAAGAAAAACAAATCCTGGAACTGTACTTACCTCCCTACAGAAATTCATTTGGGAGAAGGAAGAAAGAGGGGGAAAAATGGAAAGAACAGAATGAATATATGAAATGTAATACTCTGCTGAAGATACTGAAAATATGAGTGAGTGAAAACATTTTATCAAACTGGACCAGTAGTGGGTTTCAATTTCATTTGTTACTGGTTTGCTTGCGGGCTCGCGCACATGGCGCTTCTGCACATGCACAGAAGCTTATGCGTATGCGCAGAGACATCCATGTGGGTGGGTGGAGCCTCCCGCTTCTGCTACCGGTTTGCCCGATCTGGGGCAAACCAGTAGCAACCCACCATTGGACTGGACCCCACAGTGATTCTGTCTGCCTTTTGAGGTAGACCAGACTTGAATACCAAAGCTGTGAATACTAAAACTACTTTTATTATAGTGTTAAGTAACAAATATGAATGCGCCTCCCCCTCCCTTACTTTATGTCAGAGTCACGTGACTCATGAGATGTGTGACAAATAAATATGATTGATAAACAAAATATGAAATAGAACTGGGTAGGGTCAAATCTAGCATGCTTTCTCAAATTCCATTCCTGCTTCAGGCTGAGATTTCTGCTATCTGACCATTGATTTGTCTGTGGCTTTTCCTCCTCTTCTTTAGGATTATTCTCCCATCCTATTGCTGATCTGCATTGATCAGGATGGATTTCCTGTCTGGTGTTGTCTTATTAGCTGTACTATTAGCCTTGTTAAAACCTCTCCTTAAAAGTCATAAGCCTCTGTTATTAATAATCACAATGATCTCATTTTGCTATGGTTCTTTAACGTAGTCATCCTGAAACATGTGCTCTCCTCATGTCTTGAATTGCAATTTTCAGAATTCCCAGGCACGATAGTCAATAATTCTGTAGACCAAAAACATTTGAAGAGCAGCAGGATAACAAAGTGCGCCAGTGGTGGGCTGCTCCCAGTTCTGTCTGGTTCTATAGAACTGGTAGTAAAATCAGCGGAGGCTCTGCCCACCCACCAGGACATCATAATTGATGATCTGCGCATGTGCAGAAGATTCTGCACATGCGTAGAAGTGTGTGTGCATGCTCCCGTTGCAAACCAGTAGTAAAGGTAAGTAGAACCCAGCCATGAAGTGTGCCCTAACCTTCTAACCTTAACCATGTGATCCAATAACATGGGCTAAGAATAGAGGCTCCATTCAGACAATATATTTTCTGTTTACTAAAGAAATACATTTTCTGGGTCTACACAATATAGACAAACACACACATAAGATGCTAATTTAAAACTAAACAAGCTCAGTTTTGTAATGTATTTAAGAATGATGGGTAAACACAACCAGAATCTGACTAAAAATATTTAAGATTTCAATACAATTTTGTGTATCTGTCACTGCTGCATATTCCTATAGGACTTTCCATAAAATGGAAACATATATTAAATACTAAAACCTAGACTCAGATAATAATTATTATTTTCACATTTGATCACATCTACAATTGGACCAGTGATGGGATTCAGCCAGTTCGCACCACTTCGGGAGAACCGGTTGTTAACTTTCTGAGTAGTTTGGTGAACTGGTTGTTGGAAGAAATCATTAGGGCAGAGAACCGGTTGTTAAATTATTTGAATCCCACCACTGAATTGGACTCACATTTGAATAATTGACTGGTGAGTTGCCAGATTTTGAGTATGAGGTAATTACATTCCTTAAACAAAAGGATAGCTGTCCTCAAGTAAAAAAATATTCTTATCAACTCCTCAGCCTAATCATTTATGGAATTCATTGCTGCATTGGAAAATCACTGAGGTTTTTTTTCTGCCATCTAGTGATTGCTTTGCAGAACTGTTTTATAAACCTAACAAATGTATTTGACCTCAAAATGATCTGTACTGACTGTAAATATTGGTAATAATCAACAGAATTCAACATCTATTTTCAGCCAGTTATGTTTATTGGAATGTTGGTGGGTGATTTATAATTTCATCACCAATATTCAGTGTTGAATCAAAACTGTTTGGAAAATTTCTACTTTCCACTTTAGCTTTTCTATAACAAAGCCTTTGTGCATTGCTGAGAAATATGTATTTGAATTTTCATATGTAAAGCTTGCCGAAAGGAAAACCATCAAGAATAAATGAATGAGTTTCTAATTTAGAGATCTTTTTCATTTAAAACTTAAATCGGAATGTCAAATTTTTCATATCAAAACTAAACCTAGAAGTTGCTACATGTGTAAATATTAGTTTGAGAGCTATTGTTTATACAAGGAACCATGTTAAAATTGTCCTGCAATCACCAGTTTGAAAGAAAATCCCATTTGATTTAAAGGGACTAACTTCTGAGTAGGCATACACATGTGGTGTAAGGTTTAAACTGTATCCAAGACATGACCTGGATCTATGAAAACAGCAGCTCTTTACCAAGTTCTGTTCTCAACATCTAAGCAGAGAGTGAGATGGAGGAGAGATGGGGAAACTTATATCACAATATTAAATATCTCATTTATCTATTTCACGTAGAAGGTAAATGGAGGAACAACACAGTTTGAGATTTTTCCACAACAAACTAATAGCAAGCCTAGTTCTGTTCAAAGCATCGTATCTCATAATGCAATAATTCTGGGGTCAAATTCAGAGGATGAATCTGAACCATGTGTGAATGAAGGATATCTTGGCCAATGGGGAAAATAAAATATTTACTCACACTTCAGGCATTGTGGAAACAAATGTTGTGCCTATAAATCAAAATAAAGCAACGAGTTACAAGGAATGAAACAATCCCAGCATTTAAAAATGAATGCAAACAATGATGCATAATATAATCAGACTCCATTTATTCTTTGTTATATTAATTTTATATTTCTTTATCCCAAGATTCCAGGAGATTAGAAAAGTGAGACTGAATAATATTATTTCCCAGCAATGATGAACTTGATATGTTTTTCTCCCCGGGGGAGAATGCAACTCTAATGGAGTGGTAAATGTCAGCTAAAAATAATTCTTATGACAATGAACAGCAATGGATTGTTTTATTGTTATTCCTGGATAAGATCAAATATATTTAAAATCAAAAAGATGATCCATAATAAATTGTAGTGCAGTTATGTGAACCATTCTGTGTATGCATCTACAATATAAGAGCTTTGCAAATACACTGCTCAAAAAAATAAAGGGAACACAAGCAGAAGACATCGGAGATCTGAATGAATGAAATAGCCTTATTAAATACTTTGTTCATTACAGTAGTTTTGTGTTCCCTTTAGTTGTTTGAGCAGTGTATAAACTACTGTGTGTAAAGAACAAAGTATTTAATAAGGCTATTTCATTCATTCAGATCTCAGATGTCTTCTGCTTGTGTTCCCTTTATGTTTTTGAGCAGTATATTATCAGTTCCATTCTCAGCTTATGGATATTCTTTGTGTAGGTTCATTTAGAAATAAAGCCACTGAATCCTATATAAAGACCTGGATGTAAGTTATAATTTCAGGCAATAGCTCTGGACACAAAGTGTAGAAACCACAAAGTGAATTCCAGGGTTTTACTTCTGAGGAACAAGCACAGGACTGGACACGGATGCATAAGTAGAGCTTAACTCTCAGATGGATCCCACAATGTTGAGACAGCTCAGAAGCCAAGTCCCACCCCTGTGATGAGAATTGACAGAAGAATGGAAAGAAAAGAATCCCATGGCCATTTATTCCCACTGCTGCCTTACTCACAGCAGCAAGCATGAGCAGGCAAGAGTTGCTTCTGATCTCCTCAGTCCTCGAAGTATTTCTCCTTCTCTATCGACTTCTTGCATTCAAACCCTGCCCTCAAGACCCTTCTGAGCATCTTTTTTTGGGGGGGTGGGGGAGAGGGTGACTAGGTGGCTCAATGGCTAAGACACTGAGCTCGTCGATCAAAAAGATCAGCAGTTCAATGGTTCGAATCCTAGTACAGGTCTCCTGCATGAGCAGGGGGTTGGACTAGATGACTTCCAAAGTCCCTTCCAACTCTGTTACTGTTACAAGGGTAGGCTTAACATCCTTGAACCGCAAAAATGTCTTTGCTACCCTCCAACAAGATTGAGCATTTCTCACATCTCTCCTGCCATCTCGTGGCTAACTAGCATTTTTTTCCCCCTGGCCATCATCACTGTACCTCACACAATCAAATTTGTTAAAAGGGGTGGGGGCAGGGAATGAGTGGCAAGGGGACCCCAAGTGTCTGCCTTCTCTGCCTGCCCTATCCTTATTGTACTACCCTGTTTCCTTGAAAATAAGACATCCCCTGATAATAAGCCCAATTGGGCTTTTGAGCACATGCACTAAAATACACCCCCCCGAAAATAAGCCCTCCCCAAAAATATTTAAACACACGCACAGCCAGTCCCCATCATTTCCTCTGGTTAGGGTTAGGGAGACAGAGCTGGAAATCAGATCTTGCTCCACACACCCCAAAATAATAAGACCTCCCCGAAAATAAGACCAAGTGCTTATTTCGGGGTTCAAAAAAATATAAGATAGGGTCTTATTTTGGGGAAAACATGGTACCTTCTCTGTTGCCAGTCTTGTGTTATGGCTGCAGAAAGTACTGGGCAATATGAAAGCCTTCAAATGTAGAGACCTCGTACACTTGTGCCTCTTGCCTGAAAACATTTGGATCCTGAATCCCTGAAGACTCCACAGTAATGATTGGAATATTTATCAAGAGATTTAAAAATAATACTTGTCTCAAACACAATAAGATACTAAAAAAGATTAGATTGTAAAATGCCTGGATGGCTTTTTTTCAAGCTCTGTACAGACATTTGCAGTTTGAATAATTCGATAAATAGATCTTATCCTATGGTTTCTGCATTCAAATCCCATCTCCAGCAAAAAGTGTTAAATCAAAGTTAAATAATGTGATTTTCATTTTTTTCAATACAATTCATCCATGTTGGCTTCAAATATTACAGCATTTTCCAATAACAAATGTAAAAGCTG